TTCCTACGATGAGGGCACTCTTTAGGGGCATTTCCAGTCCTGTTTCGTTTTCATTTAATAGTCACATGATAATGATGATTCATTGAGACCTCCTGGGGTTAAGACCGTCTTTTGAGAAAGGGTACCTATATTTACCATTTACTGACTGCCTATGTAATGCCAGCTCTTCTACAAAACACTTTCCTTAACCTGTTCCATTTAATCCTTACAAAGATTCCTACAGAATATATATCATTATTACTATTTTTTTTTAGAGATTTTCGCTATAGGGCGCGTGCGCTCGCCAGACAGACAGAGAGAGACAGAGAGACAGAAAGCGAGAAATCACCCCCCAGGGGGGATGGTCACGCCGCAATACCTTCTCCTCCATTCTCCTCTCGGGATCTTGGGCATGCACGCACATGTGCCGGGCGTGAGTTTTAAGCCACCGGGTCCGGGACGCGAACCGCGGTTGATTACGTGGGAATCCAGCGACAGCCATTACGCTAACTGCTGGTTCCCATCATTATTACTATTTTTTTAAAAATAATTGTTAATGGAGGGACCAGCAGGTGGTGTAGCAGCTAAGGTGCTGAACTCCCGTATAGTCCATCCTGGTCCAGACCTGGCAGCTTGATACTCAGGCTGGGTGTATGTTCGTGCTTGTCCGAAATCCAAGAGGAGACTGGAGGAGAAGGGATTGCAGCGTGGCTACCCCACCCTGGGAGATGTTTTCTCACTTTCTCACTCTCTGGGGCACACACGTACACTATGGTAAAAACCTTAAAAAAAAAAAAAATCAAAGAGAAAGAGAGAGTGAACCCCCGCCCAGGGGTAGACGGCCACACCACAATCCCATCTTCTTCATTCTCCTCTCAGGATTTTAGGCATGCACAACCACGCACCTGGAGTATCTCTCAACCACTGGGTCAGCCAGCCATATGAGATCCAGCTGCCCAACCATCATGCCACCACTGGCCTGAATAGATACTATTAACTCTATTTTCCAGATGAGAAACCTGACACTTTGAGCCGCTCATTGACTTTCAAAGGTTGCACAAGTATAAAGTGGCCCAGCTGGGAGTCAAACCCAGGTCTGTCTGACTCCAAGAACCATGGTGTTCTCCAATAGATGACTATATGAGGAAACCTGGGTGCAAATGGTGACTAAGGATGACAGAAAAACATGAAGTGGCAGTCCTTGATGTGCTAGCTCAGCATTATCTGACACCAGTGAATTCTGGGCACCAGCTAAAGTCCCAAATTAAATCCCAGATTTCATTGGTTTCAAAAGCATTTTATCTCTGAATAGCCCTGGTTCCTCGAGGGGATGCAGTTAGGAAGCAGGTTTTTATGGTGTACTGGGACTAACCAAGAGGCCTCCACTAACAAAAGTTAGTGATGCTTTTTAATACAATAGAGTGACCACTTGAGTTTTACTCTAGTTAACACAAGGCATTTCTCTTCAATTAAATTTAAAAATTGTGTGTACACTGATTTCTAGTGTTTTTTAAAAAACCTCTACTGGGCCAGCAGGTGGGGTGGTGGTTAAGACGGCTGGACTCCCATGTGGCTGACTGCGGTTCAAGTCCTAGACCTGGCAGCTTGCTTTTTCACTTTCCCTCTCTCTCTGGCCAACTTAAAAAAATTAATGAATAAATAAAATAATGACAATGAATACAATTAAATAAAATAATGTCTTTTTAAAAAAACCTTTTCTGACATCTTCTCCCTCCCCCCTCCCCCGTATGATGCTGCTGTGCAGCCTAGGACCTGGCCAGGACACACTGTCCCATCGGAGGGTGTGTTACATTCAGAGGCTATCCAAGAACAGGGACGGGGGCCCAGAGCATCACTGCTTCCTGTGTTTGGGGAGAACTGATCTGCAGAGCTTACCGTGTGACTCCGGGAAGTGGAACAGAAGGCTAGCCCTGGAGAATGTCGAGGGTGGGCCGGGTGCTAGTCTGACATTTTACTGGCAGGTTTCAGCATCTGCAAAGGAACCTGGGGAAAGGCACACAGCCTGTTAGCAGGCAGGAGCTGCCATGTGGGGCTGGGGAAGTGCACAGGAGAGGCTGGAGGGTGCCCTCAGAACCCAAAGTTGAAGGAATTCATTTGTGAACAAGATAGAAAGGCAGACAACCAAGAGAACATGGGCTCAGAAATAATTTATTATAGGAGGGTGGGGGAGCGTCCCTGCTGCTTTGCAAGCACCTACCTGGGACTTCCTGCAAAACACGGCCCCTCGTCCTTCTTCCCTGTACATTACAAACAGCCAGGGACTCACCTAGTAGGTCTACTAAAAACAAGTCCAAACTGCCAGTTGTTTCCTTGGGGTCTTCCAGACTGTCGTGTTCTGTATGGCATTGCAGCTGCTTGGTTTTGTCGGCATTGTGTTTTTGTCTAGGAAGGCCATCTCCGCCTGGCGGGGCTGTAAAGGGAGTGATTTCTGCAGGCCATGCAGTGAGGGAGGGGGCCACCCGCTCGTCTCAGAAGACCCACGTTCTATTTCCACTTGGCCACTTGCCACTGACCTCAGAAAAATCACTTTAAGCCCTGTGCCTTAGCTTCCTCATCCAGAAAATGAAGGCGAGACTACTTCCCACCCTCCTTGAAGGGATCATTGGGAGGGTCAAACGGAATAATTCCGGTGACAGCGAACTGCGAGGGACTGTGACTCCAAATTACTTTAAGAAACATAAGTTAAACACACTCAGCTGGAGTTCTAGGAATCGCTCCCCCACGGTCTAAGTGTTGTCAGGCTGCAAACTGTTCCGAAAAGTCTTCCTCATGGCTATCTCACGCACCCAACACCGATCTGCGACACCCCTCCATCTCCGTGGGCTTCCATTCGTTCGTCTTCCAGCCAAAGCGCTTTAGGTTGCCGCTGTTCGGTGCACCCCTAGCACACGAACCCCGCAGCTGGAAGAGATCCCCTTTCTCTCTCCCGCGTCCCTTCTTACTCTCCACCCTAGGTGCCAGCGCCAGCGCGTGCAGCCGGGCGCGTTTTCCGCACGTGAATGGGTTCTCCTGGCTGATCTCCAAAGACCTTGCAGTGTTTCAGAAAGCTGGGAGCGCGCGGAGATCAGCGAACGAGCATCACCCCCCAGCCCTCGGAGGTCGCGCAGCCCCGCGGGGACCCTCCCCCGCTCCTCCTCCCGCCGTCGCCTCCCGCGCTAGCTGGCGGGGCAGCCAGAGCCAGATCAGGCGGAGGGCTGGGGGGGCCCTCCCCGCCCCTCTCGTAGCCCCTCTCCACCAGTAGCAGCGCTGCTGTCTTCCCACAGGAGGGCTGGGAGGACGCCGGAGTCTGCAGCGCCCCCGCCCCCTCGCCTTTTCTTTCTTTCCTTGCTTTGGGATCTTGCTTTCGGAGCCGGGAGAGGTTCCGAGAAGAGAGGAGCCAGGAGCAGGAGCGCAGGCTTCCGCTGCGGCGCGCAAACAGATCTCAGGGCACATCCCCGGCGACCCTCTTGCTCCTCGTCACCCCAGCCGGGATGTGAGGAAGGAGAGCCCCCAGCGCCTGCCGCCTGCCCTCGAAGGTGTCCCAGAGAGCGTTTGGAGGGCCGGTAGCTGGAGCCACTTCGTCTGCAGCACCGCGGGACGCGAGCGGCGGGGGGCGGGGGGGGGGGGGTCCCGCCCTCCCGCC